CTCAATGATCAAAGCAACGGTGACTCCTGGCTTTTTATAACGTCGTTACGTCATTTTAAATAGCAACGCTTCACTTGCCTAATAAAGGCATCTTGGAACTCACCAAAGGACGTCTATTCAGCATACAGTCGACTCAACCTAGTCGACCCTATGAAGCCGACAACAAGCATGCTCTAATGAACACTATGTTAATTCTCCACAAAGTGGCCGACCCTTCGTGAAGTCGACTCATACTTTTCAAGCACTTACCCCCAACGGATTCAAGTACCAGTTTACAGGAGTCACCGACTCGGCCAGCTCCAAACCAAAACACAGCCATATATTCACCAAATTCCAAAAATACAAGATGACAAATACTTGAGTTCGAGAGACATCTTCCTGACAAGGGTCGAGCCCTGTCGACTCAACAGTTGAGTTTACAAACCCATAATGGAGCTGGTTCATCCCAGGAAATCCAAAACATGATTGCACAATGCAAACAAGTCAATTCAGGGCAAAAATTTATCTCTTTGTCCATTTATAATAGAGTATTTACAAGTATATACCCAAAAGTACAGCGCAAAGGCGCAAAAAAATCCTAAGATAGATAGGAAAGGCCCATCCATGCTCCCAGAGTTAAAGGCAAGGAGCCGCTGGCAATAGTCGGCGGAGGAGTTGAGCATTCACCTCCCTCATCAGTCATCCCGCTGGGGGAGGCTTGGGAGCTTCATTATCTAACTCCCACTCATCCTCGCCAAGATCGAGTCCTCCCCCAAGTGCTTTCACTTCCACCAACTCATCCAAGCACTTAGTCACAATGGGTGGATAGTGGAAGCGGTTTGTTGGGTTCCTTATCTTGGCTAGAAGCTGTGCCACAAGATAGTCGTACCCGGCCTTGCACGCTATTGCCACCTCTGTCTTTCCAGTGATGCCCCGGTGGTACTCCTCAATGACTCCCTCGCGGTAAGACTCGGACTCGAGGTAGGTACTGCGGCTTTGGGCCATTGCTAAGAACTCCTCTATGAGGGAAATCTCTCCTTGAAGCTTGACAAGCATTGCATGCTCCTCCTCTAGCTGACCCCTCACATGCAGCGCCACTTGCTTCTCAGTTTCAGCCTGTACCACGGCGTGGTCCCTTTCCCGAAGTGCCTCATCCAGCCTCCTGGCCTTCTTATTGCTCTCACCGAGCTCTCGCCTAAGTTTTTTGACCTCAAAAGATCTTGGGGCCGATGGCCCCATCGCCCATTCCGAGTCGGTCCCTCTATCAGCCCTCAAAGTAGTTACTTCCCCTAGGAGCTTCAGATAAAAAGTTCGGATATGCTTTATCTGGTCGAAAAAAAAATTCTCCACCAACGCCCCTTGAACCAAATAGCTCCGAAGACTTTGGTGAAGACCAGCATTGGGGACCCCTTTTAAGAACTCCTCGCCACAGAGAAGCTAGAACTGTTCCATTGCCCGTCTAAGAGTCGGACGAGATCTGAGGACTGATTCCCTGACACCGAAGTTATGAGTAGGCTAGTAGTGGTACTTTGGGTTGGCCTCCTGACTGAATTGAGGGCTGACCCCTAAGGACCCTATGAGGTATAGCCTCATCCTCTCCCATTCTTCTTCCCTAACCTCAGTGACATGATGTGGATAAGGGAACTCTAACCCTACGGGAGTAGCCATCTCCTCTGTGATCGGATCTTTCTCCCGACGGCGGGACGACTCAGTGTGGTCGACAGAAGTCGTCTCTTCATCAGTGAAGGCTCCGGCCTCGACCCTAATCTCTTGTTGAGGAGCCACTGCCTCCTATTCTGGGGACAACTCATCCACCTAGATGATGTCGGTCTCGGCCACCTTAGCCGTCGCCCGAGGCACTCACTCTTCGACCCTCTGCGGTCTCTGCCTGTGGACTACGGTGGCAGGAGGATCCACCTCAGTCATCTCGACTGGGGCCAAGTCTCGGCGAAAATGATTCTCTGGCCTTGCCGATGACCCCTACTGGGGGTCAGCAAGAGGAGAGGTCGGCGCCATAGCCGCTTCTTCCGTGCCTAAAATCAGAACCGAAGCCCTCTCTTGGTCCCTAGCGGTGGGAGGCACGATCGAGATGTTGACCACCCGCAAGACCGAGTTGTCAAACAGAAGCTCCACCCTGCAAGACCCAGCATACTCCTTGATTTGATCTAGAGCATCCCTCTCAGTGTCAGACAGACCGCCGACCATTAGCGCCTCTCTTCTTATCTCGGGCCAGTTTGAGCAGTCCAATTTCAAGTTATCTCTCATGACCCAGACGAACTTCTCCTTCCAGTCCTTGTTCGAGTTAGGGAGGCCAGGGATGAGCTTGTACTTTCCCACCATTTGAAGTGGAAGTGTGGCTCGATCTGGTTCACCTTGAATCTTGCCAGACGGCCCATCACCTTCAAAGATAGTTTTATCACCAGCTAATGGCAGATCACCATGAACCTAACCAAGGTCGCAATTGCGTTCGGCTTCATCTGTGCCAGCGACACCCCCAGAGCCGTGAAGACTTGCTAAAGGAAAGGATGCAAAGGTAATCGCATGGCGAACTCCAGGTGCCTTAGATACAACGGAGCCCAATCCGATCCGTGATCATAGACGGCCTCCGCCCTCATCGGTGCCATCAGTTGATACTCTCGAGGGATGTCAAATCTCCCATGGAGCATCCTCATCTGCAGTTGCGTCACTTTGGAGTGGAACTCCATCAGCAAAGCTTGTCTATCAACGGGATCAGATGCCATTTATGATGGGTGATTAATCGCCAAAGAAGATCGGTAGAAAAGATTTCTGGAGTTCTCAAAAGGAATTTTAAAGATCAATAACTGCCTATCTTCTAGTCCCTGCCTTATTTATAGGCAGTAGAATCCGCAGCTACTGGAATCTTAACGGCTGGATCACAATTTAGCCAACGGCCGAGATTAACTCTCGAAATCCAAAGCGGCATCTCCTGGATTGAGGCATAGCCAACCAACATCGAATAGCCCGCAATCCGGCACGAAAAGCCACTTGCAGTAGTCACAAAGAATGCGTGGTGACGTCAGCCACATTAAATCTGAGGAGACCTTTCAGTTCACCCATTTAATACACGTCCGCATCCATCCAAAACTGTTCTCATTTCACTTGGACCCGACCCAGGTCGACTCCAAGTGAAAGGGGCCAACTATTATGGAGTTTTTAATCTCCAAATTGTGATCTCTTGTCAACCATAGGCATGTATCTCCCATTATGCCTGATTCATTCGACTCGACATTTAGGATAGCTAGGGTCTCGATTCAGCTGACTCGCCGAGTTAATATCTCGTTAGATCGACTCAGAAGGCGGTATGTGTCGGTCCTCTCATCAAAGACGACTCGTCGTAAGCCTACTCAAGTAGTTATCTAGATGACATCTCATGAGAGCCGACTCGAACGGCGGTACCTCGCAACACCCCTCAATACAAGACAAAAGGCGACTGCGACCTCAATCCCCCCGCTGACAATGCGTCAACATCACATTAAATTGACATGCGCCATAATTTCTCCATCCCTGACACTATTTGTGGCACATCGGACCACGCCGGCTTCGCACACCACCTATTTCATCTCATTAATGCCGAAGTGACCTCGCCCATTCCGCTACCACTCCACAGCCGCCACCTGTAAAGTCAACGCTGACTCAGCCGCCAGCCCAGACTCGGTCGAAGAGACCAAAATGCCCTTCCTTCATTACCATAAAAGGAAAAAACTATTCCCAACACGAAAGTAAGCAATTTCTCTGCATTTTTCTCCATTCCACTACACTTAAGAACCACGACAGTTCACCATTTGTTCCCCACTCAAGTACGTTGCTAACTTGATCGTCGGAGAGTGAATCGGCATTGATAATTCGAGGTTGTCCTCTAGGGTTTGAATTCTCGTTTCGCTTTAGCAGAGAGAAAAGAAAAGAGGGAGGAAAGAGGAAGTATTATTAGGGTTAGGGTTTAGAGGGGTGAGAGAGAGGGAAGGGGTTGTGAGTCGAAGATCGTGATCGTGAGTTGTTAAATTACATTTTGAACTTCACTCCCTCTAAGTTTTAATACATTTAATTTAATTTATACACTTAAAATTAAAAATCATATCTACTCCTCTATACTTAAATAAGGATTCAAGTTTTAATACATTTAATTTAGAAATCTACTCCTCTATATTAAGGATCCAAAGTTTAATACATTTGATTTAGAAATCATATCAACTCCTCTATACTTAAAAAAGAAATACATTTGATTTACTTTACTGTTTATAATATAGTAAAATACAGTAGTATGAATAGTATATTCAAGTATGCAGGAGAAGATATGATTCACTGTTTATGCTACAGAAATTTACCGTAGCATAAACAGTAAGTTCGAGCACAGCGGAACATATTTGCTTTACTGTTTATGCTACAATATTTACTATAGTGTTTACTACAGTATAAACAGCAACCCTTTGGATTTTACTTTTAAGTGTAGAAGAGTAGACCAGACCTATTAAGGTGAAATTTGACATCGACGATAGTTGGCTTTTAAAAATCCACCCGCACAAAATATCTTGATTTCAAATCTAGAGCAAAAGAAGGACCAAACCCCAAATTTCAATTTGAAATCTCTAGAATTTCCAAATCCAAGGCCCAAATCACACTTCCCACCAGGAAAATGCTAAGCGTACTACGAGAGTTTCATGACGGTTTCCTCTTCTGTTGAACGGAGTAAGGCTTACATTGCCATGAAATGAAAACAAACAAACATTGACCTCCTCGGAGCCGTGCTTCTTTGAAATAAATAGTAGTCACGTTGACCGCATAACAAACTCTGGCTTCAATACCTTGAGGCAGAACATCCATTCACCGCTTGCAATTTTAACAATACTATGAAGTCCCACACAATACTTCTGAGATGGGAGTTTCAGGCTAAGAGCCGAAGAAACTCAATTGATTCATCAATATTTGCTGATTTCTATGCTGGTCTCTTCTCAAGTACTAGGCTTATGTTGTACTTTCTAACTAAGATAACACGCTACAGCGAGTGAAACTGAAAGCGGTTTGGATGAGAAAGAAATATCATTGCCCTTACCGACCAAAGGAACAGCAAAAGCTAATCATACAACAGAAAGATACATTGCGTATGCCATCAACATCATCATCAGGATTCGTAAGCTAAAGCGATAAATATCTAGAGACGAGGACGAAGCTGGACTCTTCTGTAATCAAATACGACATACACAACTGTATCAGCTGGAAGCTACGAGACCCATGTGACTCCACCAAACATTTGCCTACTTGTTTGCTTCAATGCATCGCTTGGCAGATGTTGACATCACATCTAAATCTAAGGATTTTGCACAGGTTGCTCCCCTCTTCCATGAATGAGAAATAAAAGAAATTTGACATGTGAACTGGTGACGGTATATTCTATACATTCCGGAGACTTAACATGTACAATTACAGCCAAAACCATTATCGATCTGTCCGATCTAGTGCAGCCTTCGCAACAAAAAATCAACGTGAAAAACCAACAGAGGACAAACATTGGAGGTCTGGGTACACATGATTCCGTTTGTATGCAAGAATGGTGTGGACATCCCAATGTCCATGAAAAACAGACCTGCACGATCGGTGAGATTAGCTACGTACATTGACAAAACAGCCAAGACACAACGAAGGGGAAATTACAGAAAATGCTCATGGGATTTGTCGGAATGATAAAATCTTCCATTAAAACTAATACTTTTAAGGCGTTGGTTTTAAACACAAATTTTATCAGAACAATCCTCATGCCGAAAGTCTGTTGACGACCATTAGTGAGAGGGTCTAAATCTCAATAGCTCACGTAATTTTTTCTCCTTGAGCTTGAGATCTCGCCCCTGCAAATTGGAAGCCTGTGGAACATTTCCGCATAAGTAAGCGTCTAATTTTTGGATTTTCCATCAAACAATATCACATTGATATCACATGGCCCGTTTAATGACAAAAACACCCCCATCTCTTTTCTTAACACTATGTTTGGTTGTTTACTAACGGAGAGGAAGGGCAAAGGAGGAAGAGGAACTACGGGAGGAGAAGTGAAACAAAAGAGAGGGGAATATATTGTTTGAGAGATTAGTAAAGGGAATGGAGGGGAATCATTTATGAGCCATTGGCTTTATACCATGATGGTAAATTTGTCACCTTCCTCCCTCTTCACTCCCTCTATAGAAAACTCCCAAACAAAGTGAACAGTTTTCTTCCCTCCCCTCTCCTCAACTCATTCTCATCCAAACAGGGTGTAAGGGAAGAAATGAGGATACTTTTGTCATTAAACAGGTCACATGATGTTAATGCGACATTGTTTGATGGAAAGTTTAAAAAAAAGAGTTTTTTTTTTTTTTTTTTTTTTTTTTTTAGTTTTATAACTTAAGCGTGATTTTGTCATTCCTGTAAACTGTAGGGGGATTTTCTGTAGTTTTTCTATATTTAATCGAGAGAAAATATATATTTGAACTCACTCAGCATGCCTTCCTCTTATCCACCTTCAGGTGAATATTGAACCATTTCTTCTTCTTGGTACGATCTCTCTTCTTTTCCTTTGTTTGACCCTCTTCGTTAGGCCGAGATGCCCTGAAGGATGTTCTTATCCTTCCGCTACTTGAATTCCGTTTTAGACGTGGGACAGAAGTGTAGGAGGCATGAATTGCATTTCTTTCTTTGAGCAGCTCATCTATCTAGATTGGATGAAGACAATAACATTAAAACACCATACTAGGAAATGGAAAGGAGAGTTATAAAAGAAACTCACAGTTTGCATCTCCTGGGCATATCTACTAGTCATTTCTGTGAATTGCGCCAGCACCTTTCAATGGGAAACAACACAAGAAAACAACAATTGGTAGACTGTTTATTACAAGAAAAATATCCAACTAACAAGAAAAGAAGGCTTCCCAACCTCTCTGTACTCTGTCTCAAACTTTGAAAGTTCCACCCTTTTGGATAGTAGTTTTGCCTCCACATCTCTTAGTTTTTCCTTTTCTTCTGAAAAAGGTTCGGCACACATAACCTCTATGGTATAATTTGCACTTTTGAAGAAGTTGTCGCCTGTTAAAAATCATGAAAAGATGCATATTTTAGGAACATAAATTGCACAACAGAAGATGAATGGCTCTTAATAAAGCGTACCATATACAGCAAATACATGGGTGCCCGCTTTCAGCTCATTTATCTCACATGGCTGAAACCCTTCCAATTTTTTGAAAAAGGCTGCATCCGGATCCTTATTAACTCCCACCTGGTTAAGAGTCAAGAGATGAAAAAAACGCAAGAAACTTATGCGAAAAAGAACCGCTCAAAGCTTTCTGAAGTTCTCATCCTTACTGGATTTGTCTCATCAAATCGATATACAGGAAAGCATAGGAAGAACATTCCTGCAGATGTGACCTTCCCTGTTTTTGTGCTATCTTCCTGCATCAGGTAGAATATCAGATTAATACTCTTTGGTACCTCACCACTAAATCACCCTTGTGATACTTTTTAAGGGTATGTTTGGATAGGAATATTTGGAATTCTATGCGATTCCAGCAACATTCAACCTCCAACGTACCTGTTCAATTATCTATTGGTGTAAATCAAAAAAAATGTCAGAAAAGATAATTGATTTTAAATATAGCAGTTACTGTTATGTCAAATTGATGAGTGTTTTAAGAATGACTAAAAAGTTTCTGACTGACATCTCCAAGGAAATATTTAAATAAAAGTAATACCGATATATGTTTTCAAAGAATAGGTTACAAGTTATTTACATGAGCTATTTATAACTTTTTTTCTTTTTTTTGCACTAATTGTGATGCTGATTGTTGGATGCACATCAGTAAAGTAACCAATATGGTTTAGAGAAGAACATGTTCGCTTCGCTAGAGGAAACGACATCAGTCTATGAAACAAAGAAGTTTCTGATGCAGAAAAATAGCCATCACAGGCTGTTAATATGTTTCCACTGCACCAACTACGAGTAGGTTCACTTGTTAGATTGTTTTAAAGAACAAGAGAACATATACACTCATTTAAGGTTTTTGCTAATTTTACTTAATTGACTTGTAAGTCCAAAGTACTTGTCAGCCACATAGGGTTGCCTCAATTGTATGATCGGTTAAAGGTCATTTCCTTCCTTCAAGGGCTTCCAACTTATACAATAAAAATTGTCCACCTTGACATTTGTGTTAGATATTATTTCCAAAAGCATCCTTATAAGTCTGGTAGAAACAGCCCACAAACCATTCAACTCTGTCTTCCATTAGTGCAGCGAGCCATTATCCTCCAGTTGTCACAGATAGAGCAAATTGAAAGACCTTTGGGCCTTCATTTGTTCATCATACAGATTCTGCTAAAATCCAAGAGCAATCGTTGACTCTTCCATGAGAAAAACATCTAGAACTGAGCTCATTAGAATACTAATGACAGATTCAAATGATAAAGAAAAGTTGAAAAACCCTAAGTTATCTCCAAATTACAATTTAGAAAGGCAATAGCAACAAAAACTCAGCGTAGTTATGACAAAAAGAAACTTATTCTGGTTGAAAGCCACGCGAATGAATTACTTCCTAATATATTCACATATTAGATACAAGCTACTGAACTGCATTTATCTGAGAAGAAATAACTACTTCTGTTTACCCAAAAAATAAGGATGTTATTACTCAAAGAAAAAGAAAAGACTGGATTAGGAGTTCTGTTCTGTACTGTATACAAAGAAACGGATTGAGTAAAGCATACCTGTAATGCAAGACTGAGTCCCCCGCTCTCTTCCACCTCAAAGTACAACAACTGCATAGCCAGAAAGAAATATAGGAACAGGCGTTAAAGCTGGACTAAAATAACTTTGATGAACATATCTGTAGACATAAGTCACCAGTTAGCGATTGCTGCATATGAAAATGTATTCATAGTGCAATCAACTTCACCTTTTGTTGGGTGCAAAATTTTCTGTACTTTCTCTCACTACTTTTTCTTCCATTCTTTGTTTTCTATCTGGTCAGCGGTTGTTTTAGATTCTTCCCTGATTCTTCTTTTAGATAACCAGTCTACAGTGCTGCAGTTACATTTATGACAGGTGAACAACATAAAGTCTTGAATCTTTATTGGATGTCACCATCCAACATTTTCCCCCTCTTACAAACTGTCTAAAATCAGACATGTAGAACCAAACAAAAATGTAGTTGCTGTCTAAAAGTCAGCCATGATTTCAAGCTCAAAGAATTAACCCGTCTAAATAAGCTCAGCATTCCATCAAGAAAAGACATGTCAAATATCAAGTTATCAACGACAGCAACTCAGTGTCATCGCACAAGAAACTCAATTAGGAGATGAATAATCCCATAAGAAATCACACCTTTTAGTCCAGTGTATATATAAAGTTTAACTCAACCTCTTGTTCTATGTCCTGTATTAGAATTACTAGAAGAATATTGTACAAAATACCAAAATGAGTTTATCTACTGAAATACCATTTAAATATTGAATACCTTAAATTTACTCTTGTCAGGTGAATGCACTCGACAAACAAATCCCATCTGCGCTTCTTGTTCTGTTATTTCTACAGAATAAAAGTGAGCACATTGCTTCTCTACCTGAGAGGTGTAGTAGATTATATGTCCATAAGATCCAGAAATCATATAACAAAAGCATGAGAATATAAAACAATTATCAACCTTTTTATATAGAGGCTGTCCTAACTGTAATGGTCTCACAGTTACAGAACCATTTAGTGCTTCCTCTAAGACAGTTGCAGATACAGTTGTCTTAATTGGTACACCAAGTTTACTGCCATCAAGTGTACCAGATATTGTAGGGCATTAACAGAAAGTTTAGGTATAATATAAAAAAAGCAAATAATTAAACTTCACATAGTCTGGATTTACCTAAAGAGAGCAGCAAACATAGTATTGACGGTCCCTAGACTTGAAAGATCTAGCTCCAGTTCCTGGCTTTCTGATTCAATAGCCTGGTTGAAAGAAACATAATCAGTGAATATCATCGACCAACTATAATCCTACAAGTTCCAATTAGAGACTTGGTCATGATTAATTCACCAATGTCACCATAATCTAAGCCTCTTGTAAGTTGCAATACAGTGGTAACAGGTCTCAAGCGTAACTGACAAGATAAAAATGTGAAAGCAGTGACTCAATTCTTAGGATGAGATTTCATGCATATGCCATTTGAATAAGAGTTAGTCTCCAAAGTCCTGTATGAAGTCAGATACAAGATGGGCGTTTCTCCATGAGATCGGTGATGGCCATGGTGGGCGAGGAAAACAAATGGAATGAGGTACAGAAAACTGAAAACTAATAAACAGGCAGTCCAAGAAAAATTACAGGAAAGATAGAGGCCTTGACTTACACTTACAATGATTGTACTATAAGGTCAACAGTAAAACTACAACGGGTAAAAGACAAATTCTATGTGCAAGCAAGTGAAAACTCACTGAGCCAAGTTTTTTTTTAAAGCAGAAAAGTAAACAAATAAACTTGCAATAAAATATGACACCGACAGATTAAAAACTCCAAAACAGGATGCAAATAGAAAAATAATAAGAACACATTGAATTGGTTTTCCAATGGTACCAGCTTTTCTTTTTCCTCTTATGGTAACATGCTTGTCAACTTCCCATGGTTAGATGCCCCTTGATCCATTTTACCTCCTACACCTTTGTTCGTGACATGCATTAAGGCTTACCATTAGGTAATTGAGTCAGCTTCTCCGCTTGCCGATGGTACTTACATTATGTTCTTACATTGGCATACTCATCAAACTTATTGATCTATCTTACAGAGATGGTGGCCCCGTTGTCCACACTTCAGCCCATGTTGCTTCTTCATAAGCATCCCTGACCTCGCCACTCTGTTCCCACACGACTAATGGGGTGGATGCTTCTTCGTGAATCAACACAGTCTATACGGAAAATCTTCTAATATTAGCCATCAGTTGTCTCCACATCATGTGCCCACATAACAAATGAGGTGGCTTCGTGAATCAAACAGAGTCTACGCGGAACATCTTCTAATAGTAGTCATCAGTTGCCTTCACTCTTCTAATAGTAGTCATCAGTTGCCTTCACTCTTCTAATAGTAGTCATCAGTAGCCTTCACATCATGTGCTCCAATTAGGACCTCCTGTGGTTACTATGTATACTCAAATCATTCAATACTCCTGAAGATATTCATTTTTCAAGAGATCTACAGGAGAATATTCAGTACTCTGCACTAAAGAATTTAGGCTGATGGAGCAGACGTTATACTAAATACTTGGCCTGGTTTATCACTTTTAACCATAAATCTTTGTAGTTTTCCAACTGTACAATTCCAAACTCAAGAATTGCACATGGTAATTCATTAACATCCCACAAGATACATCAGCACTGCTTAAAAGCTGGTAAGTAGACTAAAAATATCGACCGCGCTACAAATCCTAGAAGGCCGCTTGACATGTAGGAGACACTCTCATTAATCATCTAATCTAAATTCACTTGACACCAAGGAGCAAAACTTCCAGAGTTTCAAATAATAAAGAAGGTCTAGATGTATAGGCAAGATGATATGTTTGCATTATGAACTAGTATTCAATAGATGCCAAAGAACCAACCTCAACTACAACATCAACAAGATTATATTCTTCCAAAAACTCATCAATGGCATCTTGCCGATATAGTATGACAAAGACAACAAAAGTAATAATAGAAAGTAAGATCATCTTCTTCTTCTTCATAGTCTAAGAGACTAAATGTTCTTAATAAGGGAAATTAAGGAGCAAAATGATAGAAGGAGATGAATGACTATGTTAAGATCATAGAAGTTTATAGATCCTGGAAGCTCACTAAACTTGCCTCAAAACCTGATGTGTCATACTGACGTCTTTTGTTTGGATCTGACAAAATATTGTATGAAAAAGTGACCTCTTTAAACATGTCAGCTGCTACAGGATCATTTGAATTTTTGTCAGGATGATACCTGTGAACAAGCGGGGGAAAGTAAAAAAGATCATATAGCAATTGATATACAATTATATAAACAAAAACAACATAAAAGAGTCGGCCAATATGATATAAGGATCGCAGCTAAAGTACAACACGAAGAAGTATTTAAGGAACTATACAATAAGGCTCGTATCACAAATGTGTCTCGACCTGTAATATTATTATGTGAACCAAGTTGCATCCTATCTTTTCAAAATTTCCAAATCTTTCATGCCTTTCTCATGTTATAGAATGTCAGTATTGATTATTCATATCCATGCGCCTACACATGATCAAGGACCAAGGCTTATTTAGGATTTTGTAGATATATAACCAAGTACATATTCAGAAATTACTCCCCCATTAGTTGTATTGTTTAGGATTTCTTAGATATATATGCCCCAATATATTACCTATAAGAAAATTATTTAATATAAGACTGTTTGGTTCGAAAGTTGGTTTCTTCATTGCAGAACTCATTACAACTTCAGTCGTTATAATAAGTTCAAAAGGAATGACTTTTTATAAGACTCCTTACACAATGGAAATAAAAAAAAAATATTATAACTTTCTTTAAAACACACGCAGAGGATGTTTATCACCCGCTGCTCGCGTGGGGTCTTTGTCTGTGTCGGGGTTTATCCGTGGACCACCACGGATCAGATCCGATTGATCGGAAAATCTCAACCAAGTGAGATCACTACTCTTCTCGAGATCAGTACAAATTCTGATCTCAAGGAATGGTAGAACGGACCACAGATCTCTCGAAACGCTCCTTCTTTATGCCGGAGTTCGTCAAGATCTCGCTAGCCTCTCTGAAATTCGTGGATCACTCTTCACAGGGACAGCACCTCGCCTTCTTTTCAGAATTTCAGATCCCCTGCGTATAGGACCCTACGCTTGTATTTATAGGCTTCAGTTACGGTATTTTTAGATAAGAACAAGTGATTTGGCCTCATCTTTAGTTAATAACGACCTAACCACATTTAGGGATGATATCCAAGTAGTTGGGAGGCTGGGGGTTCTGCTCCTAAGAAGACGATCGATAAAGGGATTTCAATAAGAACCTTCTCCAACAGGAGACTGGAGGACCAAGCATGCCCTTCCGATTCAACGTCATTGCACAGTTGGCTAACATCCCTGCAAGGATCACCATGTACGAGCTCCTGCGGTTGTCCAAAGATACAATGGAAGCTCTAATTAAAGCTTTCACGAACACGGAGAGTTTTATTACACAAGTTACCCAAATCCCAGTGGCTTCTCAAGGACAATCTTGTATGCAGTATCTACAAGCAGCAAGAAGTATGACGTGCATATCATTCACTCAGGAAGATATGCAGGTCAAATACAAGCATGATAGACCACTGTACTACACAGGGTACATCGGATCCTCGGAGATCAGCGACGTCCAAGTTGATCCGGGCTCAGCACTTAGCATAATGCCTTACAGGGTCATGCAAGTCTTAGGGATTCCCTTGCATCGGTTGAACACTATCCAGACCACTATCTTTGATTTCAACGCTAACAACACTTGGCCCCTGGGTAAAATCAAACTCAGGTGTCAGATTAGAGATCTCAAATCCGAAGTGACGTGTTACATCATTGATGCAGACGCATCCTACAATCTATTGTTGTGACGACCTTGGATTCATGCAAATCGTATCGTCCCGTCTACTCTACATCAAGTCATGAAATATGTTGATGAGGAGGGAGAAGTCTGAACCCTGATTGCTGAAAAGCGTCCTTTCAGGAGAGTGGAGAACTTCCACACAGACTCTGTTTTCTACCTGGACTCTCAAGACTCAAAACGACCGAAAGAAGACGCCGACAGTGACAACGAGGCCGACATCGAACCAGATCCTGAGGAGGATTGTCCATAGGAGTTGAACTACAGTGTAATGAGTCGAAATGAGAGCAATAATAATGTACCGAGTGAGGACGAATGGTACATTAATGAAGACTTTAATTTGACGTACTCGTCTAATGTGCCCTCTAAACATGAACAAATAGAGATTGATACTGATACATGCACCGACCATTGGCCCACATTGTATGTCGAGGCGTCACTCACATTACTGCTTAAATCCTCCTTTGCCGCATGCGAAGAGATGGAATATGTACAGAAGGCTTTCTTTATGGTCTCGTCCAAAAGAAAAAGGCAGAAGCCTATCTACTTTAATAAAATCAAACCTGAATTACTCAAGCGAGAGAGTTCAGAGGAAGACCGGAGAGTCCCCCAATTCCATTATCATAAACCAAACTCCATCAAATTGATGAAAATGATGGGTTATAACTTTGATGAGAAGATAGGGTTAAACTTTAGGAAAGGAAGACGAACGCCAATTCGGATATCTTTCACTCCTAAAGAAAAACCTCCTGATTATTATCAAAAGACTGAAAGAGGTGTGGGTTATGTCACAACCCCTCCCCTTTCAGAAAATGAAACCGATGACTGTCTATGTCAAGACCATTCATCCGAAACATCATTATGGGAATCCGATGTCAGTGTTGGAGCCATCTTTAAAAGCTTGACCGTGAACATGATTTCGACTAGTCACCCAGATGAAGATGCACAAGGTGACGAAGAATTGATCGAATCGACCAACGACCCTTGGATCAAGCGCCTTAACATCTTGTGGGATATGCGTTTTGAACAGCGTGAGCCTCCTACTGAAGATAAAGTAATCCAAGTCAATATGGGAGATGAATCTGATCCAAAACCTATATTTATAAGCGAAAGCTTATCACCATCCGAGAAAAAAGATCTTATATCTCTCATTTGAGAGTATATAGATGTCTTTGCTTGGAATTATGAGGACGTGTCTGGCCTTGACTCAAAAATGACTATGCACCGACTCAACATTGATCCAGATGCAAAGCCCGTTAAACAACAACGTCGGTCGTCCAGAGATCATGAAAGCAATCGAGTTAGAAGTCAAAAAGCTTATAGACTTAGGCTTTGTTAGAGAGGAACACCACCCTGATTGGGTAGCCAACATTGTTCCAGTGTCCAAGAAAAATGATAAAGTCCGGATATGCATTGACTTTCGTGACCTAAACGCGACATGTCCAAAAGATGAGTTTTCACTTCCCATCACGGATGTCATGATCGATAACACCTATGGGTATGAGAGATGATGTCTTTCATGGATGGATTCTCCGGGTACAATCAGATCAAAATGTACCATGAAGACGAAAAGCGTACTATTTTCATAATACCCCTGGGGTATACTGTTATACAGTAATGCCCTTCAAATTAAAGAATGATGGTGCAACCTATCAGCGTGTCATGAATATAATCTTTCATGAACATCTACGCAAGAAGATAGAGTGTTATGTGGACGATATCGGAGTAAAGAGCCAAAATAGAAGCGATCATCTTGCAGATCTAAAAACGATGTTTAACATCATACGAACACATCAACTGAAGATGAATCCAACCAAGTCATTCTTAGGGATCTCTAGTGGTAAATTCCTGGGATTTATAGTCACATTCAAGGGAATTTCTCTAGACCCAGAAAAGGTTTGTGCTATCCAAGAAATGACGTCTTCGAGAAATATTAAAGAACTCAGAAGCTTGTAAGGCAGATTGGCGTACATCCGGAGATTCATATCAAACCTCTTGGGACGCTATCAGCCCTTCACCAAGTTGATGAAGAAAGAAGTTTCATTTGTTTGGGATAGAGACTGCCAACAGGCATTTGAGGAGATCGAAAGATATCTTACTCAATCACATGTACTTGTGACCCTAATATCAGGAAAACCTTTCTTGTTATATGTGAGAACCATGGATTATTCCCTTAGAACCTTGTTAGCTCAAAACAACGACCAAGGACACGAACAGGCTATCTACTATCTTAGCAGAACCATGATTAGAGCCGAACACCGGTACAATCCGGTAGAAAAAAAGTGTCTTGCTTTAGTGTTTGTTGTCCAGAAGATGCGATACTATTTAGTAGGTCAAACAATCCGCATCATCTCTAAGATAAATCCCTTGAGAATGCTCATGACGAAGCCATCTTTTCTGAATTGACGTCTAACGAAATGGGCGATCCTCCTATCACAGTATGACATGCAATTTATGCCTCAGAAGGTTGTTAAATGTCAAGCTCTGACAGATTTCTTAGTCGATCATCCGATATCTGAATCATCAAAATTATATGAAGATTTATCAGATGAAGTCGCCGAAGCTTGTGCAACTCAAGAAGTTACACAAATTTGGAAGTTTTTTGACAGTGCGTCCAGCGCAAACCCTAATGGTGGAATTACTGCTGGCGTGGGGTAGTACTTGTATCCTCAGGCGGCCATGTAATCCCAAGACAATTCTCTCTGATTGAGCCATGCATCAACAATGTAGCGGAGTACAACGCTTTGCTACTAGGGATGCAGTTAGCCGAAGAATTCAACATTCGACACCTCGAGGCTTATGGTGACTCTCAGCTTATCGTGAATCAAGTTCGAGGAGAATATGAAGTGTGTAATGAGGATTTAGTCCTGTATCATTTCGTTGTGTTAGAGCTCGCTCAGAAGTTTGAAGGTTTCTTCATTGAATACATCCCGCGAGCCCAAAATACATATGCGAATGCTCTAGCTTCGCTGTCAACTTCATTGGCATTACCACCAAGAGCTGAGACAACGATATTCGTTATGGGTCGTGATTTGTACCACCCAAAGCTTCCTTTAGTACACTGCTCAAATGAGATAACAACAAAAATCGTTTGTGCAACTTCAATTGAGTTGGAACTAAGGGATTGGCGATTCCCGTATATCAACTACGTCTTGTATGGGATATTACCCGATGATGCCAAAGAAGCGGCCGCTATCAAATGGAAGATCTTTGATTCTATTACGACGCGGTCTCTCAAACTTTATACCATAAATCATACGATGGAGTCTTACTTTATTGCCTCTCTAGAAGAGCAGCACAAGAGGCTCTCAAAGGAGCTCATGACGGGATGTGTGGAGCTCATCAACCCGGAGCTAAGTTAGGAGATC